CGGCACACTAGTGTGCCGCGGCGCCAAGGTTGAAAAACACTGCTTTACACACTTTCCAACATTCCGTTGCATTTCGCACCAGAGCTCAACCCGAGGGTAACTTTCCTGTACTAAGTAATTTGCCTAGAAGGAGCCCCTTCCAGGATTTCTTGTTCTGATGTCCTAGTCTAGCACGTTGTTTAGGGCAGGGCTTCTCAAAATTTATAGTATTGTAACTCCCTAAAACGGATACTTGAATTTGTATAATCTTCTACATGAATAAAACTGGTTGGTTGGTTAGAATTCTGCAAGAAAACGTGCTGTTTACTAAAATTCTCACCATCCTTCCAGACCTATGCTGTTTTAACAGTCATCTCCCCCCACCCCCCATTTTTAAAAACCTAGAATTTAAACAAAATTCTAAATTTCACTCTTACGTGTTCTATGGAAACTACATATGTTTCTTTTGCTGGTCATTTATTTTTATCCTGCTTTTATTATTGTTTAATAAATAATTCAAGGTGGCAAACACATCTTTCCTACTCCTATTATCCTCACAACCACGCTGTGAGGTGGGATGGGCTTGGAGAAAGTGATTGGCCCAAGGTCACTCTGCTGACTTCCATGCCTAAGGCAGGATTAGAACTGTCAGTCTCTTGGTTTCTAAACAGCAATTAAATTTTTGAAAAAAAAAATGATATGCAAATAATTTTGTAAGCCACAATCAGAACTTACCAGCTGAGTTTGACTGAGAGCTGTTTGGCACTTTTGAATTTCACTCCCTGTGTTGCTCGCACAAGGCTGCTACTGCCTAAATAAAGCAGCAGCAAGGTTTGATAGTGCTATCACTTTGGACAAACAGAATAAGCAAACAATTATTTTTTAAATGTGTCCCATTTCTTGGAATCATGATTTACATTTTAAAAATCTTTGGCCCTCACATGTCTCTAGGAGTGGCAAATCATTGCGACCATATGGTGACGTATTGGGATGTTTTTTGTTTTTGTGGAGTAGGGGTGAGGGGCCGCCAGTTTGGCAGGCCTGTTCTAGGATAACCCCTAGGCGTTTTTTGTACTGTCATTTCTTTTTCAGATTTTTACAAACTAGATCTGGTAGCCAAGCAGCTTCGTGTTCAAATATTAACCAGATTAACACCCTCCCCAGTTTTCCTTTTTCTGTATTTTTCTATTTGTTGTAATCTTTCTAACAATACATATAATATACTGAAGGAAAAAAATCTGTTTCTTTAGTAAATCTATCCTGCTCCTGCCTACAGTCCANAAGCCAGTCGGAGCCGAGAACTGATAAAGAAAAGTCCTTTTAAGTTTGTCTGCTTGCCATTTGTTAACGAGCCGTGAAGGGGGGACAGAACATCTACTGTATGCACATACTTTTGTGACATGCAAATATGACCATCTTAAATAACTCACTCTATTCAAAATAAAAACTATGATAATTAATCAATAGTGACAAATTTTCACAACCATTTTATTACTGTGGAACTGGGCAGATGGCCTGTAGCATTTGTCCAAAAAGTAAAACATTATGGGAACTCATTCCCTAAATGGTCTGGTCCAAGGCTTGTCCAGATACAGGAATTAAGAATCCAAATGGACCTTACATGAAGAATGGGTATTGGTTATGACTTGATACACTCATTCTCACTGCAGGTGGAGACAGCAGTCAAATAGGGTTAACTCCGTCCAGTAACCAATAGGGCTGAGTCTACAGTTTATAAAACCATCCTCCGTGAAGCTCCTCCCCAGCTTTCGATGAAGATGGACTGAGGGGGAGTTGATATGATGATAGAGAAGAAAGGAAAAAGAAAGGGAAGAGAGAGGCCTATCCTAGTCCTATCAAAGGCTGGGCCCTGACTGGAACAGGGTGGGGTTGACTGCTGTCTTCACCTGCAGTGAGAATATCAAGTAAGTACCAACACCCATTCTCTACGATTGGTGGAGACAGCAGTCAGATAGGGACATACCCAAGCTTGGGTTAAGGGAGGAATCCGGTCCCCATGGAAAAGGACTCCAAGGAATGGACTTGTTATAAGCCCCCTCTTTCTAAAGGCAGCTTCAGCAGAAACAAAGAGTTCTATCTTATAATGGCGAATAAAGGGGGCTGGGGATGTCCACGTGACCACCCTACAAATTTCCTCCACTGAAGCCTGAGTAGCCCAGGCTGCAGTCGTGGTCACATTCCGGGTGGAGTGAGCCATTATGCCTTGAGGAGGATGCAGATCGTTCGCCCTGTA